AAATTTGAAAGTCTTCTAACAAGATTTAATCATATGTGCAACTTGTCTATGGTTTCCGTTTTCCACTACACTTTTTCGACCTCCGAAGAATATCTCTCAACTTTTGTTCTCCAACACGTTTATTAATGTATTTATCGTGAAACCATATCGTTGAATTATCAACCAACTGGAGGTATACTATTGACCAAAGAAACTGACATCGTAATAGTTTGCAACTGTTGCAGGACGCAGAAGAGAGAATGCATGTGTTTCTGTTAGTTGAGTGGATCTATATTTATTCCTTTAAAATGAGGTATTGAATCCAGACATAATATCTCATCCTGCATAATTGAACTATTGCATAGGCGAATTTTCATCAATGATTAATTTGATAGCATCGTGTAAAATTCATGCAATGGTTAAGCGCCCAGGGTTTCAAGCACCAAACGCGCAGTTATTATTCAATTTCTAATGGACTCCAGGTCTACATTTATTCAGGCAGAACGTAGTCTTAAATCAAGATGATCAATTTGTTGAAATAGTTATTTGCTAAAGTTGTTCTATACTGTTTTAAAACCGTTTCTAAATCTCGATGTTACAACTTAAGGCTAAAGCAACATTGTTTGTTTTAATTTGCATCCAAAGCTGCCCCCTTCTGAGTAAAACTAACTGAGATTTGTTGCGTTTTACCTCACAGTTAGGACTGATTTATTGATCTTTGTACCGGGAAACCTGATCCGCAGTTTTGGCTCCTAGCAACAGTAATATAGCCCCATGCTTTATTTTGTAATCGTAGGGTTAAATCTGTTTTCCCTGTTTGAATACACTTCCAAGTTGGTATGTTACACATTCCGTAAGAAATTGTTTTGCACAGATAAATTCTTAAGAGTAGAGTGCGAAGGGGTAGGTTAGAAAATTGAATCTTGCGGAACGTGGTTGTATCATTTATGATAGAAGTGATCACCGATGAAACAACTGTCAATAGCAAAGTTCTCCCGTCATGCCTGATAACAGTTGATTACCAAAAATGAATAAAACAGCATAGACGGGATAGGAGAAAACTGTGAAAATATGCCGTGAGTACTAAAACCGTGAAACCAAAATAACCTGGAAGATGTGACACTTTGTTCAGCTGTTGAGTCTAATGGAGATATTGTTCATTTTGTGTAATACTTCAGAAAATGAAATAGCACTGGATCAAGCACCGATTCAGGGAGTCTCCTAAATATCTTTTGTCTTGTGCTTATCAATATTCGATAGCAACTTCACCCGGTTTAACCACCAACAAAAATACGGTGAGGTAATTGTTTTTAGACTTGCCTA